AAAAAAAAAAAAAAAAAAAAAGAATTTGATCTGTTTTTCCCCTCAATGATAGAAGTTGTCCCAGCAAAGGGATGGACAGTTGTCCTAACATCAGTTGGTGAATAATCAGTTCTCCAATTATTTGAAATGTCACATTGATTATATACTCTTCCTCATATATGCATTGATCCATTTCTGGACTCTCTGTTCTGTTGATCAATTTGGTCATTTATTAGTGCCAACTTTAGATAGAGTATTCTGATATCGGCTAGGCACACTGGCTCAAGCCTATAATCCCAGCACTTTGGGAGGCTGAGGAGGGCAGATCACCTGAGGTCGGGAGTTCAAGACCAGCCTGACCAACAGGGAGAAACCCCATCTCAACTAAAAATACAAAATTAGCTAGGCATGGTGGCAGGCACCTGTAATCCCAGCTACTCAGGGGACTGAAGCAGGAGAATCACTTGAACCTAGGAGGTGGAGGTTGTGGTGAGCTGAGATCACGCCATTACACGTCAGCCTGGGCAACATGAGCAAAACTTCATCTCAAAAAAAAGAGAATATTCTGACATCTGGCTGGGCACAATGACTCCATGCCTGTAATCCCAGCACTTTGGGAGGCTGAGACCGCCAAATCACTTGAGGCCAGGAGTTTGAAACCAGCCTGGCCAACATGGTGAAACCCTGTCGCTACTAAAAATACAAAAACTAGCCTGGTGTAGTGGTATGTGCCTGTAATTCCAGCTACTCCAGAAGCTGAGGCACAAGAACTGCTTGAACCCAGGAGGCGGAGGTGCAATGAGCTGAATTGTGCTACTGCACTCCAGCCTGGGTGACAGAGCAAGACTCTGTCTCACAAAAAAAAAAAGAAAAAAAGAAAAGAATATTCTAATACCTGTAGGACAACTAATCACCTCCTTTTTCAACATCTTGGCTATACTTATCCATTTTCTCTTCCAGATAAATGCTGGAATCAGCCTGTCAAGAAAAAAAGAGAATCCAGTTGGAATTTTGATTAAAGTTATAATAAATTTGTAGATTAATTTGAGACCAATTGAGTTGACTTCTCATCTAGAGACATGGTATGTTTTTACATTTATTTAGGCCTTTTGTTTTTCTTTAGCAAAGTTTCCTGGTTTTTCTCATATTAATTTTACACATTTCTTGCTAAGTAAATTAATCAACTCACTTAACAATTCTTTGTCCTAGGCTCACAGTATGCAGCAGTGAACAAGACAAGTTCCTTGTTCTCCTGGAGCCTATATTCTAATTGGGACAAATAAACAAACAAAAAAGATCAGCTAATGAGAAGTCCTCTGCAGAGAATTAAAATAAGGTTATGTGATAGAGAGATATTGGGTGGCTACTTTAGATTCGATGGTTAGGAAAGTCCCTTAATATTTCAACTGAGATCTGAGTAGCAAGAAGAATTCAGCTTTGTAAAGCTGCTGGGAGTGGGGATAGCATTCCAAGAAGAGAGAACTGCTAATGAAAAAAAATCACTAAGTCTCCTAATAGTTTGGTATTTTCTGTTCAAGGAACAGAAAAAAGGCTAGTGTGGCTAGAGGTTAGTGGTGAAGGGGAAAGTGTTATGAAAAAAGGTCAGACAAACATTTAGGGGCGAAACAGATGATTCAGGCCTTCATAAGGAGTTTGCATATCATTTTATTTTTTTGAGACAAAGTCTTTCTTGCCCAGGCTTCAGTGCAGTGGCATGATCTCAGCTCACTGCAGCTTCTGCCTCTGGGTTTGGGTGTTTCTCCTGCCTCAGCCTCCCCCAAGTAGCTGGAACTTCAGGTGTGTCACAAGGCCTGGCTAATTTTTGCATTTTTAGTAGAGACAGGGTTTTGCCATGTTAGCCAGCTGGTCTCCAACTCTTGGCCGTAAGCGATCTGCCCACCTTGGCCTCCCAAAGTGCTGGAATTATAGGTGTAAGCCACCATGCCTGGCCCATATTATTTTAAATGTGATGGAAGCCATGAATGTATTGAGTAAAAGAATGACTTGATCTGATTTATGGTTTTTGAAAGATTGATACAGTAGCTGGAGGAAAAAGGATCACAGAGGGCCAAGAGTGAAAGAAAGATTTGTGAGGAGGCTAGTGTAGTGGTTCAGGTAAGAGGCAATAGCGGCCAGGTATGGTGGTGGCTCACGCCTGTAGTCCCAGCTACTAGGGAGGCCGAGGCATGAGAATTCCTTGATCCCAGGAGGCGGAGGTTGCAGTTAGCTGAAATCATGCCACTGCACTCCAGCCTGGGGGATGGAGGGAGACTCTGTCTCAAAAAAAAAAAAAAAAGAGAGAGAGAAAGAGAGAAACCATAACACGTTTACACAAATGGAAATGACCAAGAGGAGAAATTAGTCTGGGTGTGGTGGCACATGTCTTAATCCCAGCTACTTTGGGGGATAAAGTTGGAGAAATTACTTGTGGTCAGCAGTTTGGGGCTGCAGTGAGCTATAACTGAACCTGTGAATAATCACTGCACTCCAGCCTGGGCATCATAGCAAGTCAGTGTCTCTAAAATTTAAAGAGGGAAAGGAGAGATTGATGAGGCAGGAGCAAGGAGGATCATTGTTGGAGCAGTAAAGCTCTTGAAAAGGAGAGAGTATGGAAGGTACGGACAATATCTTGAGAAATAAAGTGGACGAGAAGTGACATGAATAGTGGAAGAAAGGGAGACAAGTGGGCTATGAAAAATGACAGGGAAGATACCAGGGATCAGTAGGTGACAGCATCTCGGAGTAGTAGCAGTCTGCATGAACTTTAAAAGAACTTGGGTTTCTGAAAGAATAAGGAAGAGAAGTGGTTTGGAGGTAATATGAGGAGTGGGCCATAAGATAAGAACACCTGTGAGAGGAAAACAACCTTCTGTAGTTGAAAAGTTACAAGGGAGGTAGTTTTGCCAAGTGTTAAACCGGGTTTCAGTTGGAATGGGAAGTTGATGGGAACATTTACAGAAGAGGCTAAGAATAAAAGGGAAGTGGCTGATGGCAGATGTTGAAATCAAAAGTGTGAAGTTAAATGGTTAGGATGAAAAAAAAAATAAAAAAAAATAAATAAAATAAATGGTTAGGATGTTTGAAGAGTGGGATATGGAATCAGAGTAGCTGAAGCAGAGAGTAGCATGGAGATACTAGGGCAATAAACGGGTTGCACAGATGCTATTGGTCGTGATTGAGGTGGAGAGGATATAAAGCATGATGGAATTATCTTTTGGTAATCTCCTGGGTCAAAGGCGGTGAACCGTGAGAGGAATAATATAGAGCTACACAAACCGTTCTTGTTGCAGGTCTTGTGGTATGGAGGCTGCAGCTAATAACCCATTTACGATTTTTGTATTCCTCAATTATAAAATACGGTCTGTAGGTTTCCTTTTAATGTTCACAATGCTTCGGTTTTATTAACAGGGTTATGATAATCTCTCCAAACAGGTTGTGATTTTTTTTCAAGCGTTTCTATGCCCTGGAACCATCTGGTCTAGTGCTTTTTGGGGCAATGGATATCTTCGATTATATTTATTTTTATTTAGTTGATCTATTCAGATTTTCTACATTTTCTTGAGCGGATTTTGCTTATTTATATTTTTATTGGTATAAAGATGTGTTTCTACTAGAATTTCTTGTGCCAACTCTACGTACATTCTCCCCATTCCCATTTCCATACTGTTTCCAGGCCATTTGAAAATCTCAAAGGTTGTACAGGAAAGTACAAAGGTTGATGAAGTGACCAAAAACGGGAAAACTGAACTTTAAAGTGATTCAACTACAAAACGGATGCTACTAGTGTATTCCCCGCTCTGCGGCTTAACTCCGTGGAAATCCGTGCAAAGGTTTTAGCGCTGGGATTGTGACCTACTCGGTGAAGAGAAGGGACGATCACCAAACCGTTAGAGCACTGGCGCTCTTGGCAGTTTTTGTCAGTTATTTTCAAGTGATAACTTGGAGCGATACCGCAAGAATAAAATGCTGTATCCAGAGCTGGTTGGAACGAGCACTGCCTTTAACAAAAGCTGAAAAGATCCGCTAGGAATTACGTAGTTAGAATCCAGCCCTCTCACGTCTCTGATATACCTAGCTATGTGAACAGACTGTACAGCTGACGGTGGAAATTTCCCAGGTGTTTTTTAAACAACAGAATTGGACGACCTCCCTCCTCCATTCCCAGTCGGAAACGTCCCACCCAGATCCAGCTCAACGGTGCCGCACTTGTTCCGGCCAGTTCACAATCACCCTTCAGAAGGGAGGTTTCCCGCCATTTCGCTTAGCAGCAGAGGGTGAACTCTTCTCTCTTCATTTTCCACTCGCTAGGGGCCCGAGCCCACACCACCTTCCCCGCAAAGCGAGCAGCGGGACGCCAAGGCCAGGAGGCCGCATTAAGAACCCCGGACGGAGCCAAAAGGCGACACAGACCAAGCCGCTCGGGAAAGGCTCAGCAACCGCAGACAACCCTGAGGGCGCAATAGCCCGCGGCGTGGGGCAACTGAACTGTGAGACGCGCGGGCCCCGCGCCAGCTGAGGGAGGAGGGAGCACGGCTATCGCGGGCGGGAGCGAAGGCGGGTATGAAGGGCGGGCTCGCTCCACTCGACTCCGGATTGGTCGGACTCAGAGAGCCGAGTGACGTCAGCGGGGGAGAACGCCTGATTTGTGTGGTGGGCGCGGACGGGCGGGGGAAGCTCAGTGCGCAGGCGCAGCTCCCCGGCTCCGCTCGCCCCGGCGGTCCGGCCCAGCTCTCGCGGACAAGTCCAGACATCGCGCGCCCCCGGCCTCCGGGACCGCCCCCTCCCACCTCTCGGCGTCGTCGAAGATAAACAATAGTTGGCCGGCAAGCGCCCAGTGTGTCTCCCGCCGCCGGATTCGGCGGGCTGCGTGGGACCGGTGGGATCCCGGCCAGCCGGCCATGGCGGGGCTGTACTCGCTGGGAGTGAGCGTCTTCTCTGACCAGGGCGGGAGGAAGTACATGGAGGACGTTACTCAAATCGTTGTGGAGCCCGAACCGACGGCTGAAGAAAAGCCCTCGCCGCGGCGGTCGCTGTCTCAGCCATTGCCTCCGCGGCCGTCGCCACCCGCTCCACCCGGCGGCGAAGTCTCGGGGAAAGGCCCAGCGGTGGCAGCCCGAGAGGCTCGCGACCCTCTCCCGGACGCCGGGGCCTCGCTGGCGCCTGGCCGTTGCTGCCGCCGCCGTTCCTCCGTGGCCTTTTTCGCCGTGTGCGACGGGCACGGCGGGCGGGAGGCGGCACAGTTTGCCCGGGAGCACTTGTGGGGTTTCATCAAGAAGCAGAAGGGTTTCACTTCGTCCGAGCCGGCGAAGGTTTGCGCTGCCATTCGCAAAGGCTTTCTCGCTTGTCACCTCGCCATGTGGAAGAAACTGGGTAAGTTCCCTGGCTTGTTTGGCGCCCGCCCCTTTTCTCAGGCAGTTCAGGGCTTTTATGGCAGCAGCCCGGCGTGGGCCCCCAGCACCGGCACCCGGAGCGAGCGCATCCAAAGTGTACATTGATGGAAGTGACGACTCTAAACGGTCGAATAGCGCTTTGCTGGGTGGAGGTCCTGGCAAACCAAATGGCCTTGGGGAAGATAGGATTGCTGTCTCCCTGCAAGCTCTTCTCGCTTTATTTCCGTTCTCCAAGGATCAATGGGAAGCAGTCCTCTCCCTTCGCTGCTTCACTTTGGTGGCAACCAGCGAAAACGTGTTTGAAACCTGGCGCCAGATTTTGGCTAAAAGATAAATTGATGTTGCTACCTGGGCCAGGCGAAGGAAAAATTGGAGTGTTCCCCTAGAATCTGTCATAATTCTGCTCCTGGACGTCTTGTCCCTCTCGGTTGCCTCCTACCGGTGGTGTCAGTTCTCCAGATTGACCCGGGATAGCTGGGGTTGGCTGGTGGAGTAAAGCGTGAGCTAATTTAGAAGGGCTGAAGTGTAATCGTCTGGCAATTGAAAGTTTTGGAAGGAATTCCGTTGTAATGATGGTGAGATATTTTTAGGATCATAAACGTGTACTGCTTATGAAAAATAAAAGCGCGGAACGTGTTGTTACCTCTTAAAGTGGCCCCGTGTTAAGGGTGTGCGTTAAATTCTGCTTGAGCTTTCTTTTTGGAAATTGCCTTAGGTGATTGCTTTCAGATAGTTCTCAACAGTTCCTACTTTAAAAGTACTTATAAATTGTAAATGCCTGTCAAAATAGGAAAATGCAAGGAATTACTGTATACTGGGAGGAAATAAAGGCCTTAAATGTCTAAAAATTTCGGTGTAGTTGTAGTTTCATCTGAGTTTTAAATGTTTGTAAAGCGGGCAGGATTTCTGTACTCAGCAGTTAGAGAATCATCTTACAGCTTTATAATTGTTTATCTATTGCAGTGAATAAATAGCATGCATCTTTGTTAGAGCAAAGAAGACAATACTCTCCAACGGTGGGAAAAAACCTTTTTGTTTATGGCAGCATAATAAAGTTGCTTTATTTCAGCAGAGGAATGGAGACATAGAGAAAAAGAGTTAAAGATTTAGCAAATACAGAACATTTTTAGAAAGGTATTGTCATAGAGTTGTAGATTAGCCGGTTTCAAAGAATGTTTTCCATTTGCTTGGCTCTCTGCCAAGAATTAGTTGATTGACTCAAAGATCAGCCACTAGGCTTGTTGGAGGCGTTTCCCATTCAGTCCCAGGGGCCCCTCTTTTGGATGTATTTTGTTTTTGTGTAGGCACCATAGAGCTGAAAGCACTGTAGTATATTGTAGAAATATGTCATATCATTGACTGCAGGGCAACGAGAAGTCGACAGCAGGGCAAGAGAGGAAGATTAGACACAAAGAACTATGTAGAGTCTTGTTTATTTTACAGTATACTTGGAGCAACATAAATTTGCCATACGTTTGAACTTTAAGGATAAAAAAACTTTAAGGCATAAACTCCGTTACATGAGCATTTAATTTAATTTAATTTACTTATTTATTTATTTTTTTTAAAGAGACTGGCCGGGGCGAGGGATGTGTGTGGGCAGTCTCATTTTGTTGCCCAGGCAGTGCAGCAAGCGATCCTCCCGCCTCGGCCTCTGAAAGTGCTGGAATTACAGGGTGAGCCACAGTACTGGACCTGCAGGAGCATTTTTTTAATAAAGCAGGGACCATGTTGTTAAATGCAAATATGGATGGTTTTGTCTTATATACACAGACTTTTCGAATTAAGCTTTCACTCTTATGATGCATAGAACCTTACACTCCAGAAAAATGTTGAAGTTTATTTTGTACCACAGCTAGACCTCAGACTTCGTCCTCAAAACTTGGGGAAAAAAAAGTACAGTAAGCTAATTATTTTGGGAGCCTTGACAAAGGAAATGAGGGTTAAAATTTTTTTTTTTTAGTCACAGGGTTGAGAAAGACAAAAAAAAAATGTATTTAGTTACAAATTCTTGGATGACTTCACATTTTCTATAAAATAAACTGTAGTTTGTAATCTGCAGGCCAACCCCTTTCCTGTCCAAATTCAGCCTCTCTAGTAAATATCTGTTAACGTGAATTTCCATTACATTACTCACCTTTTTTCAGGGAGCATGAAAGTACTCCGTTTCCATTTTCTTGGCTTCTGGTTCTCACCCTGCCCCCAACAAGGAAAATTCAAACAAAAATATATCCATCAAGTAGATTCCCAGTCAGTATGTTTTCTTCTGTGAAGACTTCTTTCTTTTGGAATTGAGCATCCTTTTTTCTAATTTTGTAGTGCTCATTGGATTGTAGTAGTAGTTCTCAAACTTTTTGCTCACAGAACCCTTCATACTATTAAATTATTGAGGACCCCAAAGAGTTTTTGTTTATGTGGGCTACATCTTCCAATATTTACTATATGAGAAATTTAAACTTAGAAAATTTAAAAAAATTTCTTCAAAAACAAATATGTTTACACACACAGACACACACACACGCACACACTCACTAAAGAAAAACCACTTTTTTACCCAAATAAGAAATACTGGTGGGAGGAATGGCATTATTTTACATTTTTGCAAACCTCTTTAAATATCTAGCTTAATGGAAGACAGCTGAATTCTCATACCCACTTCTGCACTCAGTCTGCTATGCTATTTGAAGTGTCTAAAGAAAAAGCAGCTCCGCATGCATATGTAGTAGGAAAAAGGAAAAATATTAGTCTTTTCAGATAATTGTGCATATTCTGCACAAAAGTGGTAGTTTCTTTCATCTTTTTTTTTTTTTTTTAATCAGAGGAACATAGAAGAAAAGTAGTTTCTTAAAGTTAGTTGAATTGGAATTTGAAACCTTAGTAATGAATTTTGTACTCTTACATTAAGATCTATTGTTTTGGTTTGTACTTTGAATCTTCTCTATGTGTGATTTTGTGACATAGTGCATTAGTCATCTGGAAAATAATGCTTCACTCAGTTAAGAACATCTTCTGAATAGCAACACATTTCATTATACAATATCAAAGAAAATCATGTTTGTTAATATCACTGATCTCATCAGAAAAGTCTTTAAATATTGAGAAGCTATCTAGTTCTCTGTTGTAGGTACACATTTTCCAAAATGTATTTTTCAAGCAGCAATTAGAAATGTATTATTGACAACAAACACCGTCAATTTTTCTTGAATTGAAAAGCTCGCCCTGTTCATGTTCAAATGCCCAAGTCTTATAATAACACAGTTTATCAGTCTCAAGGAAAAATGATGGTCCATGAAAAATATGGCTAGTTCATCACAGGACTCAGACAATCACAGGTGCTTTTTCTCTTATCAGCCCTAGTATGTAATAAAAGGCTGTTGTATATATTCTCCTATTAGTCGTACAGAATATTAAAAACGTGCAGCCTGGGGAACATGGTGAGACCCTGTTGCCACAAAAAATAAAAAATTAGCTTGGCATGGTAGCATGTGCCTGTAGTCTCTGCCCCTTGGGAGGCTGAGTTGGAAGAATCACTTGAGCCTGGGAGGTTGGGTTACAGTGAGCCATTATGGAGCCTCTGCATTCAGCCTGGGCAACAGATAAAAAAGTGTGTATTCATGGGTTGAGATTTAATAAAATTAGTTTTTCTTGTGTCATCAAGCATATTCTTTTTTTATTTTTTGAGACAGATTCTCACTGTGTTGCCCAGGCTAGAGTGCAGTGGCATGATTTGGGCTCACCTTCCCGGGTTTAGCCTCCTGAGTAGCTGGGACTACAGGCGTGTGCCATCATACCCAGCTAATTTTT